ATGAAGGTTGCAGCAAGCCCTTACAAAATGGAGTCAGCGTTTTAAAATGGGGTTTGAATTACAATATGGCAAACAGGTTTCAGAGTAGCAGCCATATTAGTCTGTATCCGCCAAAAGAACAGCAGTACTTGTGGCACCTTAGAGGCTAACACATTTATTAGAGCATAAGCTTTCGTGGACTACAGCTAGGGTGACCAGACAGCATGTGTGAAAAATCAGGACAGGGAGTGGGGGGTAATAGGAGCCTATATAAGAAAAAGCTCCAAAAATCGGGACATCCGGTCACCCTAACTACAGCCCACTTCTTCGGATGCATATAGAATGGAACATATATTGAGGAGATATATATACACACATACAGAGAGCATGAACAGGTGGGAGTTGTCTTACCAACTCTGAGAGGCCAATTAAGTAAGAGAAAAAAAACTTTTGAAGTGATAATCAAGCTAGCCCAGTACAGACAGACAGTTTGATAAGAAGTATGAGAATACTTACAAGGGGAAATAGATTCAATGTTTGTAATGGCTCAACCATTCCCAGTCCTTATGGCAAACAGTGAACAGAAGTTACGCTGTAGGCAAGTGTAATAAATGGTGAACAGAAGTTCCAATACTGAAACAGTGCAAGTCTCAGTGATTTAAGCAGGAATTGGATTGATAGTGAAACTTACAAAGGCAGCTGACTGAACAGCTATGGCTCTTAACAAGCATCTTAACTGTTAATTAGCCAGTTATTGGGGTAACCGGTTTTATGAATGAATATTGTTTCATTCATAAAACTTTGCTTATGAAGTTACATTAATAAAGTGAACAATTAAAAACAATTTCATTCATCAGTTCTACACCTGCCCCCCAGAATGAACCCGGCGGAGGGGTCCCGTTCGCTGTACCTACAAGCTCTGTTTTAGACCATGTTCCTGTCGTCTAATAAACCTCTGTTTTACTGGCTGGCTGAGAGTCACGTCTGACTGCGAAGTGGGGGGTGCAGGACCCTCTGGCTCTCCCAGGACCCCGCCTGGGCGGACTCACTGTGGGAAGTGCACGGAGGGGCATATGCTGAATGCTCCCAGGAGAGACCCAGGAGGTGAAGCCGTGTGAGCTTCTTGCCCTGGAGACAGTCTGCTCCGAGGGAGAGGAGGCTCCCCAGAGTCCTGCCTGGCTGTGTGGGGTGCAGTTCCAGAGCATCGCCCGGGGACTCTGATAAGCCCCGCTAGGGGATACCGTGCTTGTGCCATGCCCCCATGAGCAGCTGCCCCAAAGGCATGATGGGACAAACCCCCCCAGGACTGGGTGATAGAGGGGCTGGCAGGGGCGGCGAGTTCTATGGGCCCCTGGTGCCCGGGATCCAGCAATATTGAGGGCCCAGCACCACCAATATTTGGGGCCAGGTCTCTCGCCTGGCTCTGCCTGGTGCCCCCAGCCCCCACTTGCTGCCCCCACATGCATCCCTGGGCCCGGGCAGTCCCTGCCGCAAGCAGGTGGGTGGCCCCTGCAGCTCCCCACTGCCTCCGCTCTGCTAGCTCCCGGCATCCACTGCCGCCGCAGGGTCCTAGTGCCCCCACCCACTCGTGCCAGGGCACTGCTCTCCCGCCTCAGACCCCTGCCTTTTCCGGTGGGACCCCCCACACCTCAAACCCCTCACCGCAGCCCTGCCCCCACCCCTGCCCCAGCCCTGAGCCCCCCCACCCCTCAGCCCGCACCCCCCCACATCCCAACCCTCTGCCTCAGCCCTGAGCCCCCAAACCCCTCATCCCCAGCCCACCCCACAGCCCGCACCCCCCCCCACCCCAACCCTCTGCCCCAGCCCTGAGACCCCACACCCCTCATCCCCAGCCCAGCCTCCAGCCCTCACCCCCTCTGCCCCAGCCCTGAGCCCCCCCACGCCACAGCCCCGCCCCCACGCGGACACGACCGAGTCTCTGTCTCAAGGCGGGGGGGTCGGGGGGGCACTTGGCCGGGCCGCAGTGACCCGCCGCGGGGCTGGGTGGGGGCGGGGCGGCCCCTGTGGAGGGCCCGTGGGCTCCTGCCCCCCCTCCCGCTGCAAGGGGGGCGGGGCGCTGAGGCGCCAACGGCTGCAGCGCGAGCCCGACCCCGGCCGCCTTTTGGCGCCTTTTTCCAGCTCCTCGCGCCGGGGCGGCCGTTGGGCTCCGGACTCCGGCCCCGCCCACCGAGGCTCTCTCAGCCAATCACAGCGCAGGGGGCCGGCGAACTGCCCCGGCAACAGGCACCACCCCCTCCCGTAACCCCCACACGCCGCGCGCATGCGCAGTGACAGATTTCACTGCTCCCCTATTGATTTATTGGGGTGCTCCCTCAGAGCCCCCCCCCAGGTGCTGACTGGCCCCTGGGGTGGGGGGGGCCTTCCACATCCTGTGGGGGAAGGGACTGGGCCGTAGCAAAGGGGGGAGGGGCGCAGTCCCGCCAAGGGGGGGCCAGACTTCGGTTGGCCCCAGTATGGCCGCCCACCCCACAGCATTCGTTCCAAAATGGCCGCCCAGCTCAAGGTGGGGCGAGAGCACCCCCCGCACTAGGGCGGGCATGGGGCAGGTGAACGGATACGCTCCCCTGGCATGGGGGTGGGCGGTGGCCATGCCACAGGTGGGCGGGCGGGTGTTTGGGTCACACCAATATGGCCGCCGAACCTGAAAGGGGGCGAGTGGGCAACAGTGACGCCCCCCCCCAGGGAGTTAGCTGGGTAACTCTGTCCCCGCCTGCAGTGGGGAGGCTCTTTAGCCCACACGTAGGCTGCGGGGACTGTGGTCATGCCAAGGATGGAGGAGAGTTTGGTTTGCTCCGATATGGCCACCCACCCCGGCATGGGGGGAGAGTGACCCCCGGGGCAGGGATTAATGGGTTGAGAGCACTGGGACCCTCCTGGGGGGTGGGGTGGGGGGAGAGCATGGTGTGTGTGTGTGGGGGGTCATGCCAAGAGTGACCAAGAGGTTAGTTTGTTCAGACGTGGCCGACCACCCTTAAATGGGGAGAAAGGGCAGGAGCACAGGCAGAAAGCCACCGACTGAGAGCACCGATCCCCAGCATACCCCAAGGGGAACCCTGGGGTGTATAAAATACACGGCACTGTCAGGTGACGCCCCTCCACCCTTTAGTACAGCCAGCTCGGGTAACCTCCCTTCTGCCTCTCCCTCTTTCTAGAGCAATGCCGAAGCCCCCAGTGCTTCCGCCATGCTGCCCCGCCAGCCTGGGCTATGTCGCCGAGCCGTGCTCCCTGGCGGGGCAGTTACACCAGCACGCGACTGAGGGCAGGCTCAAGAAGGCCAAGAGGCTGCTGAAGAGAGGTAAAGCCCCTCAGTGAATCCGCCCTGGCCTAGAGAGACCATGGATCCAGCGTGCAAGGCTCTGCCATGAACTGAGTGTCCAAGCCGAGATGGGAGCATTGCATGCTGGGAGCTGGGGTCCCCATGAGCCACACTCCTGCAGCTCGGATGAAGATGGGAGCGTTGCATGCTGGGAGATGTGGTCTCTGTGGGTCACACCTTTTGGGTGATGGGCCATATTCCTGGTCAGCTGTGGGTAATCTTTGTGCCTGCCTCCTTAGGGGTGGATGTGGACGGCCAAAACACAGCTGGACAGACAGGTCTCTTCGTCGCCGCACTGCTGGGACACACCGCGGTCGCCCGGCTCTTCCTCCGGTTCAGAGCAGATCCCAACCAGTGAGTGGCCCTCATGGTGGAGCCAGTGGCCTGAGAGAGGAAAGGTCCCATATCCCATTCCCCTCCCCCGGAGCCAACCAGTCCCCTGTCTGGGGCCAGATCGGAGCTGGCGCCCTGGGAAGGCTCTGGATCCCATTCCCCCAAGCCAGACTGGAAGCAGTGCATTGTGGGAAAATCTTCCCTTGTTGCCCTGGGGTCTCGGCAGTGCCTCCTAACACCTGTCCCGTGCACGTCCTTCCCCAGCCGGTGTTTCGATGGCAGCACCCCTGTCCACGCCGCCGCCTTCTCCTGCCAGCGGCCCCTCTTCGCCCAAGTCCTGGAGGCGGGGGGTGACCTGAGACGCCATGATCAGCAGGGCAGGACCCCCCAGGACTGGGCCGAACAAGCTGGGAGTGACCAGAATGCCGAGGTACCTATGCAATCGAGGTGGGCGGCCTCCAGTGCTTAATTGGTAATGACAGAGGTGCCTGGGCTCAAGCAATTTTTGTATACTCACAACCGATGCAGGAAGCCCAGAGACACCGGGGCTCTGAACCGCCCGGCCCGGGGGCACCGGGGCTCTGAACTCCCAGTCCCGGAGGTGCCGGGCTCTGAACCGCCCAGCCCAGAGGCGCCGGGGCTCTGAACCGCCTGGCCTGGAGGTGCCAGGCTCTGAACCGCCCAGCCCAGAGACGCTGGGGCTCTGAACCACCAGGCCCGGAGGTGCCGGGCTCTGAACCGCGCAGCCCAGAGACGCTGGGGCTCTGACCCGCCCGGCCCGGAGGCGACGGGGCTCTGAACCGCCAGGCCCAGAGGTGCCGGGCTCTGAACCGCCCAGCCCAGAGACGCTGGAGCTCTGAATTGCCAGGCCCAGAGGTGACGGGCTCTGACCCGCCCGGCCCGGAAGCGACGGGGCTCTGACCCGCCCGGCCCGGAAGCGACGGGGCTCTGAACCACCAGGCCAAGAGGTGCCAAGGCTCAGCCCTGGCAAGCCCTGGCACAAATTAAGCACTGGGGGCCTCTGTATGGGATAAGGAGCTTAGCCTGAATTGTCTGCCTGTCGCCCCCTCCAGGTGCTGGCATTCATTCAGCAGTGCCGTGCCCGAATGGTGGGGCTGACTCAGCATGGGGAGCAGGGAGCCACACAGACGCTTTCCAGCAGGGTAGGGGGCTCGCCACGCAGCCCGCGTTCCTTCTTCTCCTCCCTGTCCTCCCTGCTCTCTGCCTCCTTCTGGTAAGACCCCCTCCCCACAAAGCTGGGGTTCTGACAGTGCAGCAGCTCCCAGCATGCATTGCTCCATCTTGATCCCAGCAGCCATTCTGATGTGAGTGGATGGGAGGTAGCGCATGAGGTTACCATCCCCGTCATGCACTGCTCCGATGAGACTCAGGTAATGTAGCATGTAATGCTCTATCGCAGGGGTAGGCAACCTATGGCACGCGTGCCGAAGGCGGCACACGAGCTGATTTTCAGTGGCACTCACACTGCCCAGGTCCTGGCCACCGGTCCAGGGGGCTCTGCATTTTAATTTAATTTTCAATGAAGCTTCTTAAACATTTCAAAAATCGTATTTACTTTACATACATGTGACGAAGTGGGACTGTTCTTAATGTTTTCCTCAGTTTCCTCTATGCAGTTCTTAAGTATCTAGGTGGTGGGATAAGAGTGTATGGTTGCTGCAGAGCAAAGGGCCAGGGTACATAAATGCCGGACACTCTGTCTCCTAGCAACTGATGGCCTGGGCCCCTCCTCTGCAAAGGTGCCAACTGAAGGTGTTGGAGACAAAGGGATCAGGTGACCTCCTGGCCTGGGAAAGAGACAAAGCCCAGAGAAGGAGGGGCTGGACGGGAGTTTGAAGCTAGCTGGGGACTGGAAGGGAGGGCAGATCTGCCTCGCTGGGCCCCAGAATGAACCCGGCGGAGGGGTCCCGTTTGCTGGACCTACAAGCTCTGTTTTAGACCATGTTCCTGTCGTCTAATAAACCTCTGTTTTACTGGCTGGCTGAGAGTCACGTCTGAGTGTGAAGTGGAGGGTGAAGGACCCTTTGGCTTCCCCAGGACCCTGCCTGGGCAGACTCGATGTGGGAAGTGCACGGAGGGGCATATGCTGAATGCTCCCAGGAGAGACCCAGGAGGTGAAGCCGTGTGAGCTTCTTGCCCTGAAGACAGTCTGCTCCGAGGGAGAGGAGGCTCCCCAGAGTCCTGACTGGCTTTGTGGGGAGCAGTTCCAGAGCATCACCCGGGGACGCCGTGACAATACATCAATAGTTTAGTTATATATTATAGACTTATAGAAAGTGACCTTCTAAAAACGTTAAAATGTATTACCGGCACGTGAAACCTTAAATTCGAGTGAATAAATGAAGACTTGGCACGCCACTTCTGAAAGGTTGCCGACCCCTACTCTATCGTGACATGAGTGGATAGGGAGTGTCTGGGTTAGTGCTGGCTAAAGATGGTGTGTTGCATGCTGGGAACTATCGTATAGAGCCACGGCCTGTCCACTCCCATCAAGATGGAGCATTGCATGATGGGACCTGCAGCCTCACAGGCCATAGTCCTGTCTGAGCATGTCAAGGTGATGCACTGCATTCTCGGGGAGCTGGAAACCTATTTTTATTTGGTGGCATGAAACAGCCTCAAGAGTGGATGGCTCACTCCAAAAACTGCTGCTACTCACACCTTCTTGTTAACTGTTTGAAATGGGCCACCTTGATTACATTGACCTCATTAGCGCTACACAAGTGATTTCCACCCCTTCTTGTCAACTGTTGAGAATAGCCCACGTCCACCTTAATTGAATTGGCTCCTTAGCACTGACCCCACTTGGTAAGGCAACGCCCATCTTTTCATGTGCTGTGTATTTATACCTGCTACTGTATTTTCCACTCCATGCATCTGATGAAGTGGGTTCTAGCCCATGAAAGCTTAGGCCCAAATAAATTTGTTAGTCTCTAAGGTGCCACCAGACTCCTAGTTGTTTTTGCTGATACAGACTAACAGGGCTACTCCTCTGAAACCAGCCTCAAGAGGGCAGCACAGGGGTGGGGGCTGGTTATAACTGAAGTGTCTGTCTCTGAGACCCCTTGTGACTCCAATCTAGGGAGACCAGACAGCAACTGTGAAAAATCGGGATGGGGTGGGGGGTAATAGGCTTCTATATAAGAAAAAGCCTCAAATATCGGGACTGTCCCTATAAAATTGGGACATCTGGTCACCCTACTCCAGTCCCTGCTATTTAGAGATGCTCCCCTCCTCTCTCTGCCACAGTGAAGTGCCAAAATGGGGTGGGGTGGGCAGGGGGTTAGTACGTAAAAGTTTAACTTTCAGCCTGCCGCACAGGTCTCTGGACAGCTCCGGGACGGATTGGAGTGGCAGGGGGCCTGTGGTGGGGTTTGGCCAGGTAAGCAGGGGGGTGGTTTCAGGTAAACAGGGGTCTCTGTTTGGACTGGTGAAGGGGGCATTCCCAGGTAGCAGGGGTCCCTGAATGGCTGGAGGGGTGGAGGGTGCTCCCAGGTAAGTGGGGGTCCCTGAAGGGATGGGGCATTCCCAGGTAAGTGGGGCCCTTGAATGGCTGGTGTGGGGGCAGTATGAAGCTCACGGGCTAAGGGCATGGTTGGCACAGCCGGGTGGGGGGTAACCTGATCTCCACGGGGGGCAGTCCCATCTGATCACCCTTGTGTACCCCCCCCACAGCTGTGCCCCAGTGGCCCCCTGCGCCCCAGTTTCGCCTCTGTCACCCCCATCGCGGACCCGGACGAGCTGCTGCGGGCCCAGGCCGAGCCGGACCGGAGCTATGAGAATGGGCCCTACACACTCATGAGCAAGTAAGAGTGGGGGAATGGGGTATGTGAGAGGGTGATCCCCGATGCTGACCCCACCTTTCTACCACCCAGCTGCCTATGGAAGGGACAGCTCGTCACTGTGCGAGGGCTGAAACCGGAGCCCCCAGGCAGCAGGCCCCACGGCCCCACAGACCTGCTGGTGGCAGAGCAACAGCACTGCAGGTAGCACCTCCACCCCACCCCAGGGAGCCCCGCCCACCGAATCCCACTGCCCCGGGCATCCTGGCTCCGGGGAACCCCGGCCACCTAATCCCACTGCCCCGGGCATCCCGGCCCCGGGGGGCCCTTCCCCTCCGAATCCCACTGCCCCGGGCATCCCGGCCCAATCCCACTCACTGTCCCGGGCATCCCGGCCCTGGGGGGCTCTTCCCCTCTGAATCCCAGCCCTGTGAACCCTCCCTTCCCCCGTTAGCCATCACTGCCCCTGTCCCCATGGGGAGCCTCTCCTGTTAGCGGAGCGGCTGTGGCTGCCCCTCCTTTTCCCCGTGGGAGGCCCTGCATTGGGCTACACCTCAATAAGCCGCCCTCTCCCTTGTAGCCATCTGCACCACCCGCAGCTGCTGCTGCTCCTGGCCGTGAGCCCTTCCCTGGACCTGCGCGAGGTGCGTCTGGTGTTTGAGAGGGTGGAGATGGGCTCCCTCTACTGGGCCCTGCACCAGGAGGTGAGCTGGCCTGGGGCCAGGGTGAGGGGCTCCCTCTACTGGGCCCTGCACCAGGAGGTGAGCTGGCCTGGGGCCAGGGTGAGGGGCTCCCTCTACTGGGCCCTGCACCAGGAGGGGAGCCGGCCTGGGGACAGGGGGAGGGGCTCCCTGTACTGGGCTCTGCACCAGGAGGGGAGCCGGCCTGGGGCCAGGGTGAGGGGCTCCCTGTACTGGGCTCTGCACCAGGAGGGGAGCCGGCCTGGGGCCAGGGTGAGGGGCTCCCTGTACTGGGCTCTGCACCAGGAGGGGAGCCGGCCTGGGGCCAGGGTGAGGGGCTCCCTGTACTGGGCTCTGCACCAGGAGGGGAGCCGGCCTGGGGCCAGGGTGAGGGGCTCCCTCTACCGGGCCCTGTCTTAAGAGGGGAGCCGGCCTGGCGCCGGTGTGACAGGCTGTTTGTGCAAGGAGGTGGGATGGGAACATGGGGGGGCAAGGGGCTCCCCACTCATGCTGTGTCTCCTGCTGCAGGCACCCCGCCCCCCGGCACCCCCCTCCTGCCTGGCCGCCTTGCGCCTGCTGTTGCAGCTGTGTGAGGCGCTGCTGTTCCTGCACGGGCAGGGGTATGTGCACCGCGCTCTCACCTCCCACGCAGTCCAGCTGGCACGCCCCGGCCTGGCGAAACTCGGCAGCCTGGAGTACATGCAGCCACGGTGAGTCCTGTCAGGGTGAGGCCTGGGGGACCCTCGGAGAACCCCACTCTGATGCCTCTCTCCCTTGGCTTTCAGGGCCGAGACTGGGTCTCGGGACCCCACACCACCCCCTGAGCTCTATAACTGGCTGCCCCCGGAGGTGATCCGTGACCGCCCAGCCTCCACGACCTCCGACCTGTACAGCTTCTGTGCCGTCACCCAGGAGATCTTCACAGGTCAGCGCCCGGCGAGGCGGAGTGGGGCTGGACCCTCGCCATCAATCTAACCCAGCCACTCTGTGTTCCAGGGAGGTGATGGGCAGGGGAGTGGGGCCAGCCCCCCCGGAGCTAACCCGGCTGCTCTGTGTTCCAGGCACCGGCCCTGGGAGGTGATGGGCAGGGGAGTGGGGCCAGCCCCCCCGGAGCTAACCCGGCTGCTCTGTGTTCCAGGGAGGTGATGGGCAGGGGAGTGGGGCCAGCCCCCCCGGAGCTAACCCGGCTGCTCTGTGTTCCAGGCACTGGCCCCTGGGAGGTGATGGGCAGGGGAGTGGGGCCAGCCCCCCCAGAGCTATCCCGGCTGCTCTGTGTTCCAGGCACTGGCCCCTGGGAGGTGATGGGCAGGGGAGTGGGGCCAGTGTGAGCCCCCCTGGAGCTAACCCGGCTGCTCTGTGTTCCAGGCACTGGCCCTTGGGAGGTGATGGGCAGGGGAGTGGGGCCAGCCCCCCTGGAGCTAACCCGGCTGCTCTGTGTTCCAGGTGCCGTGCCCTGGTACGGGGCGGCGGGTGCGGCTGTGCGGCAGTGGATGCAGGCAGGCCGGGCTCTGGCCCCCGATGCCTGCGTGCCCCCACCCTGCTATGAGGTGGTGAGGGCTGGGCTGGCCTTCCGGGAGCGGGAACGCTGTGGCTCCCTGCCTGACATTCGCTACGTCCTGCGCAAGGCCCTGCAGGTAACGGGGGGAGGGGATTCCCTGGGGGGATTCCCCACCCTGCTCTGCCCCACCAGGATCTAACTGACCTGTCCATCCCCTTCCCAGGAGGCCGCGGGGCGGCTGGGCGGCCCGCTGTCCCTGTCTCCCAGGAGGCTGTGCGCGTGGGCAGGAGAGGCCTGGACCCCCCTGGAGTGCCTCCCTGCAGCCCCTGCAGGTGAGAGCCATGGGGTGCGGGTGGGGTGGACAGGGGGTACTGACGCCAGGCCCTCACCCCCACCCCTCTGCTCCCCAGAACCACTCTACTATGAGGTAGGGGATGGCAGTCCAGAGCGGGCAGCAGCCGATGGCAACGCAGGCCGATGGGCTGAGGTAAGGGGGTGGGGCAAGACCCTGGGACAGCATCTGGGGGCAGGTATCAGGAGGTCGGGATGAATGGGGTGCAGGCAGGGTCCAGGGGTGGGGGTGAGAATGGCTGGGTGGAAATCACAGGGTGGGCTCCAGCGCCCAGCTACCAGGAGTTGGTAAGTGCAGGGCGGAACGGCTGGGCACAGGCACCAGGGGCAGAGTGAGGGAATGAGGGGGTAAGGGCCAAGGAACAAGGTAAAGAGATGAGGAATGGGGCAGGATTCACTCCAGCCCCCCAGCCCCTTTCTCAGCAATGCCCCCTGCTTCCCCCCAGCCGGGCAGTGGCAGCCCAGTGCCAGGGCTGCAGGGCAAGGGGCAGCCCAGCCCCCTGGCGCGCCAGGCCAGAGCAGCCTCAGACAGCAGCTTGGAGGTGGACAGCAGCAGCCAGGAGGAGACAAGGGGCAGTGAGAGTGGCAGCCCAGGCTCCAGCACCACGGTATGTGGGTCTGTGCCCCCTGCCCTGCTCGCCTCAGCTCCCCCGGCATTTAACCCCTCTGCGTCTGCATCTCCCCGGCCTGCACCCCGGCATCTAATCCTGTCTGCGTCTGCATCTCCCCGGCCTGCACCCCGGCATCTAATCCTGTCTGCGTCTGCATCTCCCCGGCCTGCACCCCGGCACCTAACCCCTCTGCGTCTGCTTCTCCCCGGCCTGCACCCCGGCACCTAACCCCACCTACGTCTGCTTCTCCCCGGCCTGCATCCCGGCACCTAACCCGTCTGTGTCTGCATCTCCCCTGCCCTGCACCCCTGACATCTAATCCCGTCTGTGTCTGCATCTCCCCTGCCCTGCACCCTGGCACCTAACCCCATCTATGTCTGCTTCTCCCCGGCCTGCATCCCGGCACCTAACCCGTCTGTGTCTGCATCTCCCCTGCCCTGCACCCCTGACATCTAATCCTGTCTGTGTCTGCATCTCCCCTGCCCTGCACCCCGGCATCTAACCCCGTCTGTGTCGGCATCTCCTCAGCCTGCACCCCCTGCCCTGCACCCCTGGCACCTAACCCTGTCTGTGTATCCCTGGCCTGCACCCCCGCAATCTAACCCTGTCTGTGTCTGTCTTCCCAGCCTGCACCCCCAGCACCTAGCCCCGTCTGTGTCTCCTTGGCCTGCACCCCCAGCACCTAAACCATCTGTGTCTGCATTTCCCCTGCCTGCACTTCCAGCATCTAAACCCGTCTGTGTCTGCATCTCCCCGGCCTGCACCCCGGATCTAACCCCATCTACGTCTGCTTCTCCCCGGCCTGCACCCTGGCACCTAACCCGTCTGCGTCTGCATCTCCCCGGCCTGCACCCCAGCATCTAATCCCGTCTGTGTCTGCATCTCCCCGGCCTGCACCCCGGCATCTAACCACGTCTTGGTCTGCATCTCCTACTCCTGGGGGAATTCTGCGCCACTGAGCAATGCAGAATTTTGTAGAAATTAACATGCGTGCAGAATTTCCTTTCCCCCCCGCAGAAATGGGCTGCTGAACCCGGTAGAGCCCAGCTCGTACATAGAAGACACTGCTGGGGGGATGGGGAGGGAGCTGGAGGGCTCCTGGCAGCTGCAGCTCCCAGACTGCCCTGGGAGGAGAGGGCAGCGCGCAGGAAACTCCGTGCAAGCCTGGGATGAGCATCAGGCTGTTTCTCCCCCTGGATCCCTGGGCTCTGGGGGTGGATGTCTGAGCAAGGGGGGCCCCCTGGCTGGACTCTGGGGGGAGGGTACCTGGGCCGAGGGGGCTTGCGGCTGGGTTCTGCGGGAGAAGGGGTGCCGGTATCTGGGCCGGGGGACCCTGCGGTTGGGCTTTGCGGGGAGGTGTTGTGGGTGTCTGGCCCCCTGGCTGGGCTCTGGGAGGGGGAAGGGGGCAGAGAAACAGGAACTGGGTTGTCAGAGGGGTTTCTTTAACTCTCTGCTCCTGGGGGGATTTTTGTGTGCATCTGTATTGTTTCAGACGTACTTGCTGACAGGTATTTTGAAATAAATTACCAAAATAATTGAAACTGACATGATTATGTAGTGTTATTTTGACAAATACAATTTGCAGAATTTTTAATTTTTTGGTGCAGAATGCCCCCAGGCGTAGATAGTGCGCTGTGAGGGTCACTGCAAATGCTGGGTGAGGGGCATTAGTCCCTGCAGAGTGGACGAGTCTCTGTTGGGCATCTGTCTCAGTGAGATGCAGTGAACACAGCTCACAGAGTGAAGCAGGAAGAATGCAGGCCCAGGTCGATGTTCAGTCTGAGGGGGCGGTGAAGCCACGTGGCTAACCTTGAAGGAAGTGTGAGACCCCTGGGGGGTCTGGCTCACTGAAGGGGTTCCTTCTAGACACAGTTCCAGAGCTGGGGCTGTAGCACTGATCCTCTGACTCTGTGACAACAGTCAGGTGGAGGCAACACCAGGGCGTAGCTAAGAACCAGGCCGCTGAAACCCACTGCGGCCAGAGCAGAGGGACAGCGCCAGGTCAGAGCTCCTGTTGACGATTAGCTGCCCTTAGGGTAGGTCTACACTACCCGGTAGTTCGGCGGCAAGCAAATCGAACTTCTGGGTTCGACTTATCTTGTCTGGACGAGATAAGTCGAACCCGGAATTGCTCGCCGTCAACTGCGGTACTCCAGCTCGGCGAGAGGAGTACCGTGAAGTCGACGGGGGAGCCTGCCTGCCGCGTCTGGACCGAGGTAAGTTCGAACTAAGGTACTTCGAACTTCAGCTACGTTATTCACGTAGCTGAAGTTGCGTACCTTAGTTCGAATTGAGGGGTTAGTGTAGACCAGGCCTTAGTGGTATGGCAACGCGTAAAACCCCCTTACACTCCTGGAGGCACCGCTGGGATTGTAAAGAGAAAAAACCAACTCCCTTTTATCCCGTGTGAGGCAGCATGGACAGAGGACAGGTCCCAGAGTGGTGTGACGGGGATGAAGTAGACCCACAACAGGCTGTGGTGGTGGGAGGCTTTGGCAGGGTATCTCCAGAGTACAGATTGTACAGGCCATGGCTACAGAAAAGGCCTCGGGCCAGGTCACCTTCCATGGCAGAAGCTATCAGGAGACAGAACAGAGATGGTATGCCTCCAGGAGGTTCGATGTGCAGATGGGACCTGGAGACATAACTGTGGATGGCGAGGGAATGCAATGGACTCTACAAGCTAGAACTATGCCCATGGGATGAGACATCTGACTTTCAAGGAGAAGTTCAGCGTTTTCCCCAGAGAATGGGAAATAGGGAAGAAGATCTGAGGGCATTGGATAGTCCTGCCCCATCTTCTCACCCTTTGACAGAAGATCATTCCTGAAGGCCATTACCCAGGCCATGGGACAAGTGGTAGGCCTGGAAGTTGGAACTAAGAACCTTTTCAGGGATAAAACCTACCCCTGCACATGAAGAAGAATTTGAGACCTGGTTGGATCATGCTGGTCAGATGGAATAGGAATGGGCATGCGCCAAAAGCGAAAAAAGAGACTAGTGGAAAGTCTGCACGGACCTGGGCCAGTAGCCCAGAGGCAACTGCAGCTGAATCAGAGCTTCCAAAGAAGAGAGGTAAAGTGGAGAGGATGTTATATTAAAATTCCAGACCACCCATCAGGAACTGGGAGAGAAGCTATCTCAGTATCTGGCAGAGGTGGAACAACTCCTGCGGAGGGTCCATTATAAGAAGGGAATTGCAGGGAGTGATTTGGATTGCCTCAGACTGGAGCAAGTTTGAAATGGTGTGAGACATGCTGGATTGATGCGATTAAAAGACAGAAAGGGAAATTCCCCATCTTTTTCTACACTGCCCAGAGAGGTCAGGGAATGGGAAACTCAGGACTCTAAAGATAACCCTTCCCGAGGGACTGAAATGTGTGTACTTTGGAAGCTGCTTAGTATAACATCCCTCCTGAAAGTGACGATAGGATGAGACAGCTAGGTGAATTGCGAGAGAAAGTAGCCGTCCTGACAGTGAAACAGCACTCTGTAGTGCAGAGGTAGGCACGTGTGCCGAAGGTGACACGTGAGCTGATTTTCAGTGGCACTCACACTGCCTGGGTCCTGGCCACCGGTCCGGGGGGGCTCTGCATTTTAATTTAATTTTAAATGAAGCTTCTTCAACATTTAAAAACCCTTATTTACTTTACATACAACAATAGTTTAGTTCTATACTATAGACGTATAGAAAGAGACCTTCTAAAAACGTTAAAATGTATGACTGGCACGGGAAACCTTAAATCAGAGTGAATAAATGAAGACTCGGCACCCCACTTCTGAAAGGTTGCCGACTCCTGGTCTAGTGTCTCCCCAACAAATGACAAGAGGTCAAGTATTTGTCCCCCAGAGCAAATGCGAGATGGACTGCTGGACTAAAGAGGCAGGGGTCAAGAAAGTCATAAGGCCTGGTGGAATCCTTGCCTCTTGGAGCCCATGCCTTTCTGTTGTTGATGTAGAGAGTTGGGGAACAATTTAAAGCCCTCTATGTCAGTAAGACAGTGGGAAACTTCAGAGCGATCAGAGAAGGACTCACCCTGGGTCCCGTAGTCACCTTCGCTCCCCCAACTCAAAGATGTGAAGGCTTAGGCTTTGCCTCCAGCTACGCCAGGCTTGGCTGTAGGACTGTGGCCCAAAGTCTGAGGTTGAGGGAATAGCATGTACAGCTGTTCTTCATAGTGGCTCTCAGCTTAGGGTTACCATATTTAAAAAATAAAAAAAGAGGCCCTGGCCCTG